TTTACATCTGATTCTTTTCTAAGAACTTAAACTATTAATGATTCCCAAACTAAGATGAATTTGCCCTGGCATTCCCAAGCCAAACAGTTATGGTGGAGTAATGCAGCTGCTTGTGCTCTCCTGCAAGGAATGAAACGTGGACCTGCCTGATGTCTTCCATGGCTCTTCCCCGCCTTTCAACGTCTCCACACTCACTGCACAGGCTACCTGTCCTATGGGACCTGGTGCAAACCCTTCAGGACTGCCTGAGGAACTGGTAGCAAGGCCACTCACTAGATTATTACGTTACTTTTCCTTTAGAAACGATATAAATTCTGGATCCTCTCCACTGATTTGCATTAACCAGTTCCACCAGTCTCAGATATGCTGACTGACCTGCTCGCATACAAGCCACGTGCACCAGCCACCATTCTGGGACTCGTGGAAGGATCACAACAATTCTGTCCCCCTTTTGCAGTCCGCATACTTTAGTCAGCACATTGGCCACCTTCCGAGAGAGGAAGCCCAGCTCCTCAAAGCTCCACTTCACTTCTTCTCCTTTTCCGCTTATCCACCAAAAGGCAGGGTTTGATGGTCTCTTTCCAGCCTACAAAACACAGGGATTCAAACCAAAAACATTCTCTTCTGGAAGACCATGAAACTATAACGCACACATATCTGCAAATTATGGAAGATCTGAGTGTTTCACAACCTGCCTATAAGCTATTAATTTTCCTTTGTCCTTAATGAATCGAGATTTGCTATGGATCAAACTCAGATATTCCCAACAAATTCCCCTTTTCTGAACCTGAAATGTTTACCAGCCCAATTGGCTCCAGACTCAAGTCCTAGTCTTGGTCCTATTTGAGTTTAAGCCTGATGCTGAGCATTAATGCTCCTACAAAATAGCAGATAATGTGAAATACTTCAGATAATACTCCTGATATTCTGGATGGAGTTGTGGAGTACTATTAAACAGAAGCAGCGCAGGCAGAGGACAAAAATAAAACAACAGGGTATCCCAGGACTCTTTCTATCTGATTGCCTAGGAAGAGGGGAGTGAAGTGGTCTCTAACTACGGGGCATTTGGACAAATGCAGAATCCACTTTGGAGCAAGGCAATTAAACATTTGTGGGAGAATTCTCCCTAGCACGCAATGTTATTGTTAAGTTACCTGTATTTTTATGATGTGAATCTCTAATATCATAGTATGCAGAAGGAATAAGCCCAGCCATTCCAAGGTTAAATTGAAGTCAAATTGAAGTAAACTTACTTACCAGTCATTTTTCTACCTACACAGGGAGAGCACCAAGGGTCAGAGCCACTTTTAACATAAAGCAAGCAAGAATGAGATTTTGTATAATTCCTAATCCAAATTTGTTTTGGCAACTGATTTCTTTTGATAAAGAGAACCCCCCACCTTATTTCAAATGAATTAAAGTGTCTCATCCAAACAACAAAAGATCACCTACCTTTTCAATCTCAGACCATTTGTCCAGTACATCACTTGCAAAGTTAAAGTACTTTGGTATTTCCTGTTCGCCCCGCCTGACGGACTTGTACTGTGAATATACATCAGAAGCAAGCAGCCTGGGGTGTCCATGGAAAGTCCTATTAGGAGGCTTCACGGTCCACAAGGATTTTGGAGTCCGTAAGTTAAACAACAGCTTCATGGCAGAAGATGATGTACGAAGACGCTGTAGACTATATAAGAAAATTAGCAGAATTGTTGCTATGAATCCTGCAACAAAAAAAAGAAAAGAATCTTGAGATTATCCAAAGACAATTCAGTTATGAATTGATGAGTTGTCAGTTGAAGTCACTTGGGCTAGGCACAGCCAAACTGATGTTTTTAACAGTTCAATTAAATGTGAAGTTCCCCATCCTGCTTTCTTATATTTTTTTACCACCAGGTTTTTAAGGATTAACGTATACTGTACTCATCTGGCGTCTCGTCTGTAGCTCGGCTGAAGCTTACAGATTCTTGATGTGTTCTTTGGGGCTGCTAATGGCCCACAACTCTCCTCAAACACAAGATCAGATGTTACTGTTTGCATTATAAGAAGGTTACTGGAAGCTGATTCTCTATTCCTTTTCCCTGACACAGAGCTGAAGGATGTTCCCAGACGACTTCCATCAAGATTCTCACTGCTTTAGCTGGAACAGTCGCCAACTGATTTATCCATTCACCACAGAAATCCCAAGAACCGTCACCTCAGTAATCCCTTCCACAGGTCCCCAAATTTGATTTAGACACTTTTACATCTGCTCGCTGTGAATGCCCTCTTCCATCTGTACTCACCATAACGATCCTAAAAGCTCTCAAGTCCAATTACTTTCTTCCTTTCCATTTCTAGTCTTTTTTTTTCCTTCTCTCTTTTTATATTATTATTATTATTACTACTATTATTATTTTCAGCAGTCTAGAAGATTGCTTCAGAACGGTGCTCAACATTAAAGATTTTAACGCTATGTAGAGGCTTCTTGTAAGTGCACATGAAGGTTATCAAACACGGAAACAAAACTGGCTCGTGCCTGGAAGAGCCTGCAGTCAGAGCGGGACATCGTGGAGTCCCAGAGGCTGGTGATGATTCTAAAACCTGGGTCCATCTATTGATTTTCCCTTTTCAGCCACTAAACACAGGTTACTAAACTCAATATAAGGTTAAGCGAGTGACTGTTGAAATACAGGTTAATTTTCTTTTTTGTTCTTACAAAGGATGAACATATCCACAAACTAGGAACAAAATTATAGGTAAGCTCTTGATTAAATTATTTTCCATGTGGAATTTCTGTGGCCTCAGTGAAGCTGCAAAGTTTTGCCCTTTGTCCCAGGCTTTAAAGTTCATTTTGTATCCGTTTACCTCTTGTCCTGTGGCTTCAACCGTAACCACTTTTCCTTACATCTCTGATGCACAGACATCAGTTTTGGTCAAATTTTATTCCCCAAGAAAAAGTAACTTATTTAACAGTGGAATTACTTCCTTATTCCTTAGCAGGAGCTGTTAACAGTAATATTTAATCTGCCTATCAGCCGAATGAACTCAAATACCTTGAACTTGTGCAATTTAATCTTTTCAGTGATATCAGATGCAGACTTCTGCCCCCCCTGAACAGATACTTTGTCAAAACCAACAGTAATTCACGGTGTTCTCCATGCTACATGGAGATTGTGGTAGAGAAATACTGACCAGCTGTAAATAATCCTACAGGATATCCTTTGCTCATGAGAAAGAATCAGAGGACATGGATATAAAATTAAGTGTTATTATGTCCTTAAGTACCATCTACTTCAGAATCAGGATTATAGAGCAGAAACTTATTTAGATAGTACTGAAATTTTAAATCAAAACTCTACTAACAGGACCTCATGGAAAAAAAAAATCTAAAAAGGTTTCACTGGTGAAAATAGTTTTTTAAATATTCCCTAAATAAGTCCATAGAAAATGGATGTTAATTAAGGGGGTTTATGTCATATTCTGGGATATACATTCATATTTATTATTTTTTCTTACTTAAGAAAACAACTATCAGTAGAAATATCAAGCTTTTCATTAAATGTAGCCTTTCTTTGAAGTTGTGTCCTCCACTGCTAATGCTAAAAACCCAATGGACCCACTTTCAGTCCTTCAACAGAAAAGCCTCATCGTTTTGATCATTCTTTTTAACAACATGGTAAGATATTTCTCATTTCTTACTCTGCTCTAAAGCCATGATTTAGCTATCATCTACAGATGTAAGACCATTGCAGAGACAAAATCTACACAATAGCCCGTAAAGAAAAGAGGAGAGAAAGAACATTTGGAAACAGTATTCAAGATTGGAAAGGGTACGCGAGACTGGCAAGATGAAAAACATTTTAAATCCAGGATTCCCTAGTGGTCTCCAAAATGCCTGCAAAGTTTTGCTGTGAGAGCCTTCGACAGTTTTTAGCACTTTTTCACCAGCAAACTTAGAGGTGAAAATGCAGAAAGAAAATCGAGGAAAAGACCCAGCAATGGCAAAGTCCTCTGAACTGCTGCAAGAATCAGAAATTATTTCTCCTGCTTTAGTACCATCTGCTGCGATCAGCAACGCTAGGAATTCAGACCGACGACGTTTTCCCGACCTGTTTGCTGTGGGCAGTACAGACGGAGGGCTGGCTGGGGTCGATCCTCTCCCTTGGGTTCATTCGGATTCAGGCCATGTGCTTCCCAAACGAGGCGCTGTAATGATCAGCCTTCACCTGGAGACCTCAAACCTGGACGCTCTGTCAAAAAGGATTTGGAGTGAAACCCTTTCTACCTTATCATGTGCTTCTTTTGAAGTACGGAGAACAGGACAGAGCACAAAACAGACCAGGCAGCACAATTCTGTGCAGTAACCTTTTTCTTGTAATCATTTACACCGTTGTTAATTGTGCATAATTTGCACCTTCACCTAAAGCACTTTGTATCTTCTCTTTTCCCCCCACTTTAACCCTTTCAGCAGATCACAAATTCATCAAGACGAAGAGAAGTAGTTAAAGAATACGTCTTTCTCCTTCCGCTCAGAAAGCATTTGGGAATGGGACAGTGATAGTTTTTGAAGAGAGAATATCACTTCACTGCTGATACCCACTACAGGACAAAGATTATTTTTATTAATTTCTCATTTATTTGTAATTATCAGAATGTTGTAGTTACACTTTTTTTTTAAAAAAACCCATATTTTTCAAGCAAGCTGTTTATACTAATTCCAGTAAAAAAATTAAACCTTCCTAAGCTCCTGGATCTGTCTCTTCTCTCTCCCATTCCTCATTCTTAATTACTTCCACCTTCTCCCTTCTGAGAATTTGCAGGTTGATGGCAAAAGCGGTTCCAATGCCACACATCCTCAAGCCATATGGGCGTTATCTCCTTTTTTTCCTCCCGTAGCTTGTTTTTCCATATGTTCTCCTAGTGCTCTGGGTCAGGACCACATGCCAAGTGTGATGTGCTATGGCTGGTACTTGGAAACAAGTGTGACACGCTATGGATGGAAACTTTCTCTCCAGATCACGTTATACTCTTCCCCACTCTTTGTTCCTTAGAACTTTCCTCTGGATTTTCCCAGTAGCCGTCTTTGGTAGATCCTGAACAAACTCCACCTGAAAGGCAAAACTGCTCACTTTTAGCCAAATGCATTCTGATTAATCTCCCAGGCACAAGGAAAGACACACTTTTGTTATGGCTGGGGTAAAAAGATGGGAAGCTGCACAGCTTGGGGCTGGGATGGTGAAATTCCTCACTACCCATCTTAGCTGACTGCACGGGCAGCACGTGCAGGGACAAGAACCACAGGCCTGAAGAGACGAGTGCTTCAGCTGTGCGGACAGGGAGTTACGGGTGTCCTTCCTGGCTGGGAGGGATAGATTCCAACGCCTCCGATGGCAGGAGGAACTTCCCCTTTGCTTTGGCTGAGAGTCTGAACAGAGCTCGGGGGAGGAACCAGGAAGAGCTGAACGCCTTGTCCATTCGAGTCGCTGTGAAAACCCGAGTATTTCATGAGAGGAAGACTAGACCCTGATACAGACAAGTTACATTACCATTTCCTCCCTTTGGGTCCTTTCTAGCACAGTGAACCCAAGGCTACAGCTGCAACAGACCCTGTAATTTACTTTTATTTTATTTTACTATGGTTGGAGCGGTTGTCAGAATGCAGTTGAAAAGAAGCCGAGGTAGGACAAAAACTGTTCAATTTTTAGATACAAAAAGAGAGAAGACCTGTCTTTTTGTGGTGTACTTACCTTCCTCGGATACTTGTAAGGTGCAGTCACCTTCTTGACGTGTTGCTGAAGCTCCCGAGTTAATTTTTCTGGATCGTGTGATACAAAAGCAGGAGCTAAAACAACGAAGGCTTTGACTACCTGTGCCACAAAAGTTAAGGGACTCCATTAACGTCCAGACGTGGGACTAACGGGATACATTTGCTGCCAAAACTGAGTATCGAAATTCCAAAATGCAAAAATTTGAGTTTTTTCTTTAATTTCCTTTTTACTTAGCTGCTTATTGCAGAATGCAATGTTATGAGGGACATATTCTGCAGCATAGGGTTTTTTGCTATTTTCCACTTTTTTTTCCCCTTAACTTTATACACCACTAAACTTTCAAAAAGTTGTAGAACAGACACAAAGACAGCTGAAAAGCTCACCCCAGGGCTCAAAGAAATGTTGCGAATTTGAAAAATATAAAAAGAAAAATTAAACACTCTGGATATCATCGTCACTGTGTGCCTAGTGACAAAAAGAGAAATAATCCAAATTCTATTCCTTAGACAAAAAGATACCACAATAAATCTGAAGAGCCAAAGTTTTTTTTCCACATCACACCCTGCAAACAGGGAAATAATTCTGAAATTCTAAGATCTGTCAAGGTATGGGTTTAAATTTTTTTAACCCATTTTAATTTCAAAATCTAAAATGTATTTAATTCCAAGGAAGCCTAGTACATATAGGGAATTTGATGCTTAGAAAAAAAGTGCATTTCTTTCTGTATCTTTTTTTTTTTTTTTTCTTTTTCTTTTTACCTCCCCTCGAATTGGGTCAGGACTGCTGACAACAGCTGACTCTGAGACCGCGGGATGTTGTATTAATGCACTTTCCACTTCAAATGGGCCAATGCGATACCTAGGAGAAAATGCAGATATGACAGCCGTAGCAAGCTAGCCATTCAATTGGTCTTCCCAGACTGAATTTTTACAGGCAAATGACCAAATCTAAAAGCAACTGACTTACCCAGAAGAATTAATTATATCGTCAGCCCTTCCAACAAACCAGATGTATCCTTCTTCATCCATAATTGCTCTGTCCCCAGTGACATAGAAATTTCCACACACAGAGGCAGCAGTTTTCTCTGGGTTGTCCTGACAACAATCAAATATTTTGAAAAATGTATCCGATTGTTAGTGAAATGTTATGCACTTACCTTGCAGTGATGCTAAAAATGATCAAGACAATTTTTTAACTTGTTCTCAAAACGAGCATGTTCAATGCTATCTTACGGTTTCAATTAAAAAACCACAGAGCTGCGTTCGTTAGCAGTTTTGTGGTAGAAATATGTGAGAGGTGGAAAAGAGCATCTGTGTATATGTGGATTCATGTTCTAGGGAAAAAAGGCCATGCTCTATCAAAATGCCCATCCATCACAAGAAATGACTAAAATGTATAACCCATTCTCTTCAGAGAAATGACTTCTCATTGCAGGGGGTTGCCACAATAACCTCCTGTCAATGGAAACTCCTAACCTTCAAAACACAAATGACGTGACCTACAGGAAAAACTTTGTTATCTACATTGATCTAGATTACACAGGAAAAACACCGTGACAACAGAAGACATAATGAAAAATTGAAGTAATAGCACTGAACCAAAACAGGGTTTTTATCACATAATGAGCAATTACTTTGTGCAAGTTGTTGTTTGAGCATGCTACAGATATCCAAATATTGTGGGGGTTCAGAAGAGGACTAAACACATAGATAGGTCCCCCAAAGCTTATTCAACATGATAGCTCAAATGCAGTGGAGACTATTTTTATATTTGCCTGGTTCTAGTGTTTCCTTAAGTATGTACTACAACTCAGCACCACCACAGATGGAATACTAGCTTAGATGAACCTTTGACCTGAACCAAACTGGCCTTTCTTCTGACACCTTTTTTTTAAAGCCTGTTCTGCTTTCAGAAGGTAGAGCATTTGAATTGTAATGTTAGACGACATATGCCACTTCCACCAAGCTATATGATCATCTACACTTGAGGGATTTGTGCTGTAGCTTGTCTTTATACTGTTGATCTTGTGCACGTTGTCTGTGTGACAGGCAACCATACAAAGGGTTTCTCTGACACCAGAGATATGTGCGTGCTGGAATGTGTAACTTTTAAAGATTTAAAAGATCGATCTGTGGGTACCTCTGACAGTGGTATGAGGCAATAAGATACCTGTGCTCTTTGGAAAGCCTCCCTGAGCTTCCAACATATTAGAGTAGCCTTTATGGGCTTCCTTCATTAATCCTTAACCAAGGACAGGAGTGGAATGGAAGGGTAAGGAGTGACCCACTGAACATGAAGCCCATGCCAACTGCCAGGTACAGGTCTGGAACAAGGTACCCCCTGGTTCACGTTGCATCTTGAAGTCCTACTCTGCCAGTCATTCTGTTCCTGGAATAGTAGAACAACGTACCGATCAGGCTCAAGGCCCTCAAGCAAACTAGTGAGTCCTTGTGAAGATCCTGGATGAAATCCTGCTCCTTGGGTAAGTCAACAGAACTTTGCCCTGGGTCTCTCTTGAGCTTCTCAGCAGGCACAGACCAACTCAGACTTACCAAGTACTCAGAGAACAGACAGAACGGTCGTCTCGGTTGAACTCTGATACCAATGTTGCCTTCTTCTCCCGCAGGCAGAACAGCCCCATGGTCATCTATGATCTGCGGAAAGGACACATTGTTATTGCTTTGATTAGCTCAGTGAAATACCTGTTATAGCACAGTGCAGGACAGAGAAGGGACACAGACAGCGTGCCCCTACTCTTGTACCCACAGCTGCAGCTGAGCTCAGATGTGACAATATCAACATACCTGCACGTCATAAGGGGGAACGGCTTTTCCCAAAGAGCCAGGTTTAATTTTCGTTCCTTTCATATTGGCACATATTGTCACCTGCATAATAGATTATTTATTTTTTTTTAAATTTGTGCAATGTCTTGTAGACATCTTAATCATTTGCATTAGGCACAACACCTCTTCATGACTTTGTGGTGACAAGGGCTGAATCAGGACTAAAGCACTGCAATTCTCCAGCACATCAGAGAGGGGTTGAGAGGCATTTCAGGTCAGCCCTGTGGAATGAGGTGGCTTGTGCTCAGTCTGAGCCAATGGGTTCTTCTGCAAACACTCGAATTTGCAAGACAGCAGATGTGAAATTATTACAGATCTGATTTCAATAATAGGACAATTAATTTGGGACCATATCAAGGGTAAGAGGAGAGAATGCCTGAAATCTGACTCTTAATAGCTTCGTTAACGTTCACTTACAGAGAAGTCTGGGATGTGAACTGATTTAATATTTTTCATTAAAACCTCAGACAGGCTAAATTGATACCCAGAGCAAATTATTTTTTTAGTTTTGCCTTTTAAGTAAAGATGATGAAGGGATCTACTACAAGTTATTTGATCTGAGGTAATCTCTGGCATGGTTTTTGCAGGGGGCTGAACTCTGTAGTCATAGTATTTCCTATAAACATTAAAATACGCAGCTAGTTGATTTGGGAGCTATATAATTATATATAGCCTCTTTTTAAAAAAAGTTCATTTAACTGATTCTCACCTTTTCCATTGATTTATCAAGCACATTGTGCCTCTGGTATTGCTACCTTTGAAAGGGCATCCTGCAAGAATTGATGCAAACGTACTGTTTCAGTCTGGCCATAACCTTCATGGATATCCAGCCCCGTCTGGATTTTCCACTTCGCCATCACTTCAGGATTGAGCGGCTCCCCTCCAGATACACAGTGTTTCAGACTCATGAACTTGTAGCTTGACAGGAACAGCAAATGAAATAACTTTCTTAACTTCTGAAAAGAGCAGTGAATGGTCTGAACTCAGCAGCCTCCCTCAACTTTCAAAGTAAGTATGCCTAAAACTTCCCAAGCTACTTTGGAAATGACAATAATCATCCTGTTCCACAGTCCTGGACTGGACTCCTAGATTGCTCACGTTACCCCTGAGGATAATGTGGTTCATCTCTCTGTCACTGGAAGGAGGTGTTTTGCTGGAAAAAGAGTGAGCAAAGGTGTTTTCTTGGAAGAGCTGACAAGAAAGGAGAAATCTGAACAAGCACATCAGATGTTCGTGGAAAAGCTGAGTTATGTGCCGACATCCAAGATCAAGTAAGACACTGAGAGTTTTTGAGAGCAAAAGGAAGGCTGAATAGGAACACAGAGCCTGACCCCTCTGCTAAACCAGCGTCGGCTTCCGTCAGGATGGAAGACCTACATAGGAGGAATAAGTGCCTTACCGAAGGAGTGAAAACTCCTTACAAATCACACTGCCTGCCTCTCTTAAGCTGAGTATTTTACAGTGTAACAAACCGGGGGGAACAGCTGCCAAATAACTCTCAGCACGTGAAGTTTTCTAACTGCTCACTTCATTCTCAAGGATATGGGAATGACTCCCCTGCACTCCAGTGCTGCCGGAAACCCTGACTTAAACTGAGCTGTGAACCAGAAGTTCAGAGGAAGCGACAACTTCAAAGAATCTCACTTGTTTCCTCTGTGCTGTCGTTTCAAAGACCCATTCCTGAAGCCTGATTGGCGTAAGCCGTGACTAGTTATTCTCGTAGTTCAGAACATAGCTTTTTTTTCTGAGAGCAAATTTTGCTCATTAGATTTCCTTTAATTGAAAAAAATGAAGCAACATAAGGAACTAAACAGCCAGAGCTGTCACAGCATTATATCCCAGGCTCCCTCCGGTAGCCCCGCAACACACAGATGTGCGGTACCTGCTCAAATCGTGTTGGACCAGCATGCGGTAGGCAGTGGGAGCAGTGCAGAAGGCACTGATGGGGTATCTTGAGAGAGTCTAGAAAAACAGAAAGTTATTTTGTTGAAAAGCAAATGTAATGGCGAGTCTGTCCTTGTAAATGTGCAGGTGTTTAACACAACGTATGTGCTCAAATGTCTGCAAAATGAAAGCCATAAAAATGCAATATACGTTCCACACAGAGAACGACTACGGATTAGTGACTCTGAACCCTGACTGCGGAGTGGCTGTACCAGGCAGTCCCACTGCTGTAGAAAATACAGTACTTTCTGTCCAACAAAAATCACTCATGTAAAAGAATGACCACTGAGAGCAGGGCTTTCAGTTAAGATTGTTTTCTGCTTCCCAAGGCGACTGTGTCCCAGGCTCAAGACTAAGCAACAGTAGTGAGCTAGACCAAAGCTTTTCCAATTTTATTCTTGGGAAAGTCTGGGTCTCCTCTCAACACAAGAGGCCAATATTGAGGAGAACAGGCCAGCTGACTGGTTTTGTGAAGTGGCGGACAGGAACAACAGGCATTCGGGCGGCTCATTGAAAATTCAGGGTAAGAGGGCCCTGTTTCAGGTCTACGCCATACGCTGATTACTGGCCCATGCTCACTGAGCCCAAAGTAGCTGGAAGTCCGTACCTGAGGTGAGCTTTAGGCTAAGTATGGGACAAGACAGCAACGATCCTGAGTTCTTTTTATCCTGCATCTTTCACCACATCTCCTCTACACTGTAGTCCTGTCACACAGCCTCAGCAGGAGGGAAAACCTTGTTCTCTAACTCACTGGGCACCAAAGGGAGGGATGATTGCTTGGGATGTGGGAAGTACTATGTCCGCGGTCACAGAGCAGTGGGGACCCATGCACTGGAGCCCAGTTTGCTTGCTTCATTTATGCTAAACGGAAATAAAACTGACAGTATAAAATGTTATGCTTACCGCTGCAATAACTGCTGGTTTAAACTGTAGCAAACTGTGTACAAAGACACATGACCCACAGATCCATGGTGCAAAAACACTGCTCCAAGCTGACTTTACCCAGCCAGTATCAGAGGTATTCCACATTATATCTGAAGGAGTCAAGTTCAGCCAGTACCTGATGATAAAGCAGAGACAAAAAAAAAAAAAAAAAAAAAAAGCTTCATAGAGAGAGAGACTCAGGCACATGTCACAGAGTAATTAAAGGAAAGGGCCGGAGGCTTCCATTAGAAGATGCAGTATCAAGTGAGGCTCTCTAGAAAGTTTCTGTGAGCTGAGGAGAATCTTAAACATCCTCTTATTTCCTTTCATTCTCTCCTGTTTAACATTTCCAGCATTTGCTTTTCTCCTGAACAGTGCAAAACATCCTTGGCTTGAGTTGCTGAATCTGGATCTAGCTCAAAAAACAAACAGATCATTTGGAGTAGGCTTTCCTCACCTTGGGGATTAGAGACATCAGCTAAATCACAGTTTATTTCTCTAGGAACCTAACCAAATTACTTCTATGGACTCTATACCATCAACTTCCAACTCAGAATGCCTTGGGAAATGTATGCTTTCATGTTAATGACATTTCTCACTCCTTGGGAAGCATAAGTAAAAGATGTTCGATGAAAGCCAATCAGTACCAAGCCACAGATTCAAATCTGTGACTTTTAAGGTGTAATGCTATGGTCCAAGGTTGCTTTGGTTCTCAAGGAAGGTTTACATAATACTAAAGCACTCAACTGTATTTGGTTTTGCTATAAGGATGCTCCCCCTATTGCTACTCCACAGGCAGCCCTGAGTGACAGAACGCTGTTTGACAATCTCAGCTGAGTCTTCAAGAAGCTTTTAATAACGAGGGTTTCACCACGAGAGGGGAAAGGTGAGGAAGAAGCAAGATCCTACACTCATGAAATGCCTACGTTTACCGGAGTTTTTACAGTCACATTTTCAATTTAATTGTGATCAAGTCACTTAATCAGGACACTGGGAGCAACTGCAATGTATACCTGCCACTGACTGCAAATCCGATGCCATAACTGCTGTGGGACTGCACCACCATTTTTGGAGAGCCTGTACTTCCACTAGTAAAATAGATCAGCATTGGGTCTTGACTCCTTGTCTTGACACATTTATGGTCAGCAGATGTCACCCTTCAGAAGAAATAGTACGTGATGGTTACTACATGTAGTTTTTCACAAAGAAAACAGGACTTTTTAAGGTGATAAACAGGAAGACAGCCCAAAATTGTATCATCTCATTAAATAAATAGTTGCATCAGATACCACAGGTAAGAGTTAGAGAGAACATTTTCCTAGTCACAAGTGTGCTCTGTATGCCGTAACTTTCAAGATGTGAGCACCTACAACATATTCCAGTGACTTTTCTCTACAACTATCTTGCAAGGGCACTCAAGGTGCTTGTTACAGGACAGCAGGTAGATGCAAAACCAACTTCTGCCTCAACATGTGCCATCTCCCAGTCTGAAGTCAATGGGGGCCATATTCAGGCTACTATGCCAGGTAAGGTGGTCTTAGACATGTATTATACCATTTATGTTCAAGACATTGATGAACAATTCAGATTGTCTGGGCTACCAAGATAGCGAAGGGAAGAAATAACTGATGCCGTGGTAGCTGAGCACTGGGAGCTGGCAATGGGTACCTTTCTCATTGAATTCAAGAGGCGTTAGGCTGGCCTCTGGAAGACAAGTACAAAACAACTGCAAGATTAACACTCTGCGTGCTTGTCTTGTGATCACAGTAGAAGCAGAGAGCTTTTAAAAGCTGGCAGGCTGCTGAGTAAGGAGAAGCTGAAAGACCCGAATACAGCTCCCAAAAAGTGTGTTGGAGGGATCTGCACTTAATGCAGTGGTTACCGCGAGTTGGCAAAGGGATGCAAAAATGTAACTCATTTGGAAATTAATCCCAAAACTCAGCAATGTCACATGACTGATAGAGCTTCCTTCACCTCACAGGGATGATCGTAAAACAGCCGGACACTCACGCAAAGAGTTCTTTGAGGTTCAGCCACCCATCTCTGCTCCCTTTGGCTACAATTAGTTTGCTTTTCAGAAACTGGCAGTCAGGCATGACAGATTCCACTGCAGGTGCCAGTGTATCATTGGTAATGATGCACTTGGCCTTCGAAGCCTGGAGTCGGTATAAGATGTCTTTGGCTGTTAATTGGGATGTTCCTGGAATAAAGACAATTCCTGGAAAAAAGCAACAAGCAATTTAGAAAATTGACCGTTTCTCTTTATTATGTTCACAGGACATGACCCCAGCCATAGAAAAGCTGAGCTACTTGCCAAAAACTTATTCTTTGAGAAACAGGAGTCAAGTATAACTCATGTTTGAAGGCAGAGTTTGGGTGAATTTGTGGCATAGGAATGACCTGGGATCATCTGGCTCTGAAAGACCTCCAAACCTTGCAGCACTAAGGTTGAGTTTTCTGTCATCCATATTAAAGGTATTGAGATCATGAGTAAGATCTAGATTTAAACTGGTTTTGAGCACTTCCTTCATGATTCATAACTCAGGAAGTGTTGAGATGATCATCCTCTTAGTTAAGTATATGAATAAAGCCAGCATTTGGATTATATTTACATCTGGAATAAAGCCATTATTCATATCAATAAGGAATTAATACCTCTGATATGGGATAAATAGATTGAGGTCAGGTAGCTTACATACATTGACTCAGTCAACAACCCCCTCAAGCTTGGATCCTCTTTTTCCCAAGGATTTCAATAGACTTGACCTACAGACTGATTTCCGTCTTCTTGCACCTTCAGAAGTGTCTACCAAATTTCACAATTGGGAAACTGAGGCACTGAGATACTGAACGATACTCCCACATCACAGTCCAGAAAATCTTGGATACGGTAGAATTGGATTCCCTGTGTCTTACCACCATTTACAACCTGCAAGAATCACAGAGCTTAAAAGTGGGACAAAAATACTTGATCATGGCGCTGTTGATGCTGAGTTGTTCCATCATGGATATTTAGCAGTCTAAAAATGCAATGGGTCAAATTCTTCCTAAGAATTTGCAAAACTGTAACAACAGAGCAAAAAAATACTGTATTGAATTATTAACCAGTCTAGTCATATAACTTACTGCATTAAAACTGTCCACACTGATAATGTATCTGGTAAAATCTGGCCTCAGATTGTAACCATTCAACCTTTAGCAGCTTCAACTGAGGATGCCATTTACCTGGATCGTGTCTGGCAGCACCTAATACAATGGTGCTTTGGTTCCTGGGTGGGTGCTGCCAGTTCTCCTTCTATGCCAAAGCTGAATTGTACAGGGCACAGCAGCATATTCCTGCTTACTTTTTTTTTTTTTTCAAATTAGCATATTTTTTGTATCTTTTATTAATTTTCTTTCTGCATCCAGGAGATCAGTAAGGTTACTCACCTGTCCGCATGCAGGCTACATTCAGGAGCCACCATTCAGGAACACGAGGCAGAACTGCTATGACTCTGTCTCCTCTCTGCAAACCACACACCTCAGAAAGTATATTAGCTGCTTTCCTAGACAGAAATCCCAACTCTTCGAAGCTCCACTTCAGCTCCTCTCCCTCATCATTTACCCACCAAAAAGCTGGATTTGCTGGTCGTCTTCCATCCTAGAACGCAACAGAAGATATTAAAATAAGACAACAAACCTTAAAAGGTTTCATTTCAATCCAAAATAACTCCAGACTAAGCAAATCATCCCTGGCGACTAGTCTTTTAAAGTGATACCTGTATTTCTGACAAAGAAAATAAAATAGTGCATTCTGCTCTGCAACTAATACTATCCAGTATCCATCAGGAAAATTGATTCGTATCATCTGAGATTTGTTCCAACGTCTATGAAGTAAAAGAAAAATACTACCTTTTCCAGTCGTGACCACTCATCTAAGACATCACTTGCAAAGTTGAAATATTCCGGCAGTTCCTTTTTACACTGGTTTATAGAATCATAATACGAAATAATTTGAGATGTAAGAAGCCTGTTGCATCCATGGAATAATCTGCAAGGTGACCAGAATATCCGCAAACACTGAGGAATCCATGCTTTAATAAATGTTCTCATGATAAATGATGTTTTATCAGACAGTGGGGAAAAAATCAGATGCACATCTACAGGAATCAGTCATCTGAAATAAAAGAAAATACATTTTAAAACAGCCAGGTATTGGATACTGTCTAGTTTGTGACGGTGGATAAATTAATGCAAATCAGCTTGAATAAATAGGTTGTTTGCCTGCCTCCTCATTTTTGCCCATTATTTTATATGATTCTTAAAATAAGTGTTCCTCCTTTTCTGGCAAAGAGATTGTGCACAGCTTTTTCATTATAATCTTTGTCCTCAGTCAGCTGATGAATGAATCTCATGTCTCATCTCTAAACTTTCACTTGCCAGTCCTTTTTTAAATATCTATCTCTTGATTCCTGTAAATTTTATCTTTTATTTTGCCTGCTTACAGAAATAAAATGCCACTAGTTAAAGTGTTTTGAGGACGCTTTATCACCTTGATTTACAACGGTCTCTGTAATTATGCTATGTCTTAAATATACACTAGATGGCGATTCGCACTGAACTTACGCACCAATAAAACTGATGAGTCTCTGATCTACTAGGCGAGCAAAGGTGAAGTGCCAAACACTTCCATTTGCTTTGCACTTCAAGCTGAAGTGTGCAACTTTGAAAAAGACACACGTCGTAAAACAAACCTGCAAAGAAAATTCCAGCACTTCCAGTTTCTCCTAGTCTTTCCTACACCACATACAGGTACCTGTGGAAGAGACAGAATGGATGGTGCTGCAGTTATTTAAAGCCCAGCTGTGGAAGTCAAGAAAACTGGATCTTCACTCAAAGATGCAGAATCTTCTGATAAACTTGTTTGGAGTGTAATCAAGTCCTTAAGAATCTACCCACCACATTAAATCTAACGGAATCTTTCCGTCAATTCAATACAGCCAGCTTTGCTTTTAAACCTTTCTGTGCCACGACCTTCTCCTTATTTAACAGCCAACAGTACAGGTACATCTCCGAGGGATGCTATGTAGCTACTTTTACCTTTGCATTGGGTATTGCAAGCATAGATGTAGTGACAGCTTAAGGTCTTCAATGCCAATAAATGACAATAACTGACATCGCTCTAAAAACACTGTAGTAGTGAGGCAAATCAGAGAAAGGCAAACAGAAGGTGCTCCCAGGTGAGGCACGTGTCAATGGATTTCCAGGGTGTGAGTGGTAACAAGGCAGAAGGCCCAAGAATTGTACTTATCCTGTATCCAGCATCTCCTGCTGACTGGCCTGTGACTTCTGCAGAAGGCAGATTTTCCATAGCTCTCAAACTGTAAAGCTCAAAATGAAAGAGCCAGACTAGTTAGCACTGATGAAGAAATGTGCAGAAACGTGACCTAATCTGCTGCATGCCTAAAAGAAAGTATCGTACTTCACAAGTTTCAATATTCTGCTCAGTTCTGCTAAATCCCACTCCCTTCCTCATTGCAAATCCGTCCTGGCAGGACTGACTGCTGTATGATCCTCCTCTTACTGCAGCTTATTTCAGAGAGGTTAGAAGCCCTTTCCAAAATGGTGCCTATTTCCTGGTAGGAGGTTTCCAGGAGGGATTTGAGTTGACTGCTATTTGTTTCAGTGGAAAACCAGCTCTCTAAGGAAATGGTTTGGTCATCCTACCTGTGCTCTGGGGGCCTTAGGCTGTGTTCTGAGCTTACAACACGAGCTGTTCAGATCAAACAGGCCTTGTTAGTTTTCCTTCTTCTGAAGGATGCTTTTTAAACCTCCTAGGATGTCACTTTAAAGACACCTTTGGAAAAGAGCCTGTTATGAAGAAAAAAAGACCACAAAGTCAAACAGGAGACTCTTATCTTTCTGCCTTTTTTTTTCCTTAGTACCTGATTGCTGCATCTGTATTTATGTGTGATCTTATCTTGCGAGCAGCCTGAATACACAGCTCCCCCCCCCCCCGCCCCGATTTCATTAGGCACCCTGCACGAGTGCTAATAGAACACATCTCAAGGTGCTTTACAACCCAAAGCCTTTGAGATTGATAGGAAGGAGTTCACTTGGAACCCAGCCCCACTCGCACCAGGCACAAAAACAACTTAGAGTGAAGCAATATGCCACCCAAGATCCTTCACCCCCAAGAAAATGGAGGCTACTACATCAACCACCATTACAAACATCCCTTCCTGTTGGCAGTATCATCCCTCCTGATACCAGCGTTTTCATCTAAGGGCATGAAGCAGCACTTACCACTCCTCAAGAGGAAGGAAGAGTCATTATTTGGGGCCATTTCTTCAGCTCTCAGTTTGGTTCTACTGATCTGGACACACCTGGCCTCAAGTCAGCTCTGTCCTTGCCTGTGCCAACAGAACAACCACCAGAATACCTGGTCCCCTCTAGAGAGGCTACAGCTTTGGATGCACAGTTCACAAATTCTGGCATGTTTCCAGGGTCAAAGATGTTTCTGCTACAATTACAGGCTGGCAGATATTTACAGAAACAACCATTTGTTAGTAAATGGTGCCTTCCTAATCTTCTTGTAAGATATTTCTTAAAACGTTCTGAAAAGACTAGCTAGGGAGGCCTCATAGCGCACAGACACAGTTGATAGCTATCCTAAGGATGAAATAGTACATTTGGTCCCTCCAGTGTACTGTACAGATATTAGCTACCACTGAAAACCAATGGCAAAATCTTCTGGTTTAACCCACAAAGTAGTGTATTACTTGAGCTACAACTTGGCACGTAAGCAGAGATGGGAGCCTCACCTGAGTAGCCGAGGCACTCAAGAAATACAGAATTTAAAATTACAAATGCAAAGCAATGCGAGTTTTTCCCTGAGTCATCATGCTCTGAATCAGATCCATAACAAGTAGCTCCATAAGTGCAACAGACAACCAAGTATTAAGCAGAGGAGCAGCCCTCAAATGCTGTCCCTGGTACCTCACTTACTGTTTGGTCTGCAGCTCCGCACTGGGTAACGGTGACAAGAGCAGGCTGTCTCATTGGAGAGGCGCACCATGAATCGATCGGTGCTTCTGCAAGCAAGTGTTTCCTCCCGTGCTCTCTCACCCTCTCCCCAGGGTTCTGATTATTTACAGAAAGAGTAAACCCACCTTCCCCACAGATCCTTTATTTCCAAACACTGCTAAAGATGGGAAGTAATTAACTACATTAATCTTCCCGTGGAAAGGTGCACTTGGCTCCGCTGGTGGTAGACTCTGTTATCAACCTTATCAGCCTTGTAGTTTGGCTGATACAACAGCAGCCATTTGAGCAGCAAACCCTGCTGCTTAGTGCTCCTTTGCTTCTTTCTTTCTCAGTAACTGAAGAAAGGCAGGACAGGATGAAGACACATCAGTTTTTCCTTCTGCCGTTATTGTTTCTCACAGGCTTCCCTGCAGCAGACAGCGTAAGCCCAAATGAAACAAAGCCAAAGAAAGCCAAACTCTCCAAAATAAAAAAGGAGAACAATGTACTCTTGCTGAAAAAGAGCAACTTTGACAGAGCATTGAAGGAAACCAAGTACCTGCTGGTGGAGTTCTGTGAGTATCAATTTTCGCTGTCTTTTACCCTGATGGCTCACAGAGCATGACCGATGCTGGGCCACTCAGGTATGCTTGTTTTACTGTTGCTTTGCCTTCTAGTAGTCCTTGTTTGTTGGGTTTTTCCCTCCATGTATCTATTTCTGACCCTAACTACAGTAATTTATTCCTTTTTGGGGTCGTTAAATACCAGTCTGCTACATAAGATGGATACTGCGAGTAAGATGGGTCCTCACACACAGTGCTGAGTTGGCATTCTCTGCTTCCACTGCCTAATTTTACAAGTATGTGTTTCACAGCAGTGATGGGTGAAACTCTAAGTATTAAAAAAAAAAAGTCATACATTTTCATCGGCGCTTTGTATGAGGTTTTTGCTGGATGGCATCTCTCCTCTGTGAGTGTTTGGGCTTCAGGGAATGTCTTTTTACAACATTTTGGTGTCTGTAATTGCATTATATTGGACTCTTTCCCTGAAATTATCACTTGATTAGGTGGAGGACGGTTTGTGGTTTTTCTATTAGGTTCATGTTTGTTCCTCATGGGGAGGGGGCCTTTTGAGTAACTAACTTTGTTAGAAGGTCTGGCCATCTGAGCCCTACAGAAAGTAAATCACACAAGCAAAAGCCAGAAGGGATATTCTCGAGATGTTACCCATCTGAAAGTTCAGATGCTGCATATTTCCCGCCCTGCAAACACGGAGTTGTGTTTCCTAGCAGCCTGCTGGTAGCAGAAACTCTTCCGTCTGCATAAGACAGCAAAAGCTTTGTCTCTGTTGCTTGGGCTTGACCTTGCTTCACTGTGCCACACAGTGAGCTGAGCTCAGTGCACACGTCCACTTAGCCCTAAATTATGCAAACACCTTGCAAACTAGCCCTCCCTGGGGGGCAGGCATCAGAGACCGGCACAAGCTGAAAAACCCAATCCATCCCACATTTGGAAGGGATATTTGAAATTAAGGCAATATCCTAACTTTGCAGAAGTGCATGTAATTTGTTCTTTTGCTTCACTACCAAACCTAGGTGGTGGTGATGATGATGATAATAATAACTAGTAGTAGCAGCAGTGTAGGTCAATCTGAAATGAAAGCACTTGTATTTTTCCAACACCAAAACCTAAAATACACTAACAGATTAATGAAACTAAAAAATATGTTTGGATCATACCAAACATTTCATCAATCCTGAAACAAACTTATGAAGCTTTAAATATTTTTAAAACTTTCTGAACAATCATGTTAAAGTTTTAAAGAACTTTCTAAGACTTTTAAACACTTTTGAAAGCGTTGATTTTATTTTTTAATTGTGGAGGGTTTAAAGCTATTTGCCAAATTCAGTCTGCAGTTGTGAACTGTTCTGATCTCTCTGAAGATAAAGTATTTTTTCACCAAAATAGTGCATCCGAAAAACCTTAGTCAAGCTCTATTCTCAGCTTTGTAAGAGCTGATTCAAAGCACAGAACCTAAATGTCCAGGTCAGAGACGAGCTTGCAGCCAAACCTCCTTAGGATGGCTGA